AAAAAAAAAAAAAAACCCAGCAAAAGACGTTCCTAACTCTCTGCCTTTTTCTTGACAGAAGGCACCAGATTAACTGGGGGTGGGGGGAGGCTGCAGCTGCAGGCATGGAGCAAAAATTACAATGCTGACCCAAAACATTCCTCGCATGACCCTTCTGAGGTTTTCTGCTGCAGCACTGCAGATGGCAAAAGCAGCCAACGGGGCTGCTTCCACCCAACGCTCCTTGGGAACACCCAGTAATCCTGTTTAAAAAGGGAGCACGAAGGAAAAAAAAGGCCAAGAGCCTCTTCAGAGCCAGATTTTGAGAAACAGCAAAAGGGTAAGAAAAAAAAGAAAACCAAAACCCACTCGGAAAGCAAACATCACCAACCCAGCACCGTCATGGGAGTAATTATTAAACTAGCCTCTCCAGCGAACCTGACTTTCTGACCTTCGCTTTGCAAGTGTTTACACTGTACACAGTCATTTGTGGAGGCCGACTGGAGTCAAATAAATATAACAATTCATTTTCCACCCAGGCACCCACGAACTGATAATACGCATCAAGAAAAAAACCCGTCACATTACTAAATACATAGTAAATATTTAAAGATATACATGTAGATATAAGCAGTAGTCTACACAAATGATAGTAACACAGTAGAAATCAAAAGCGCTGTTCCTCGTACGCTTTGGCATCCTCTCTCAAGTGTATTACAAGCCACCTTTTGAGCATGGCTGTTCCCGCCATCAAGCATATTGGATATTTTTAGAATACTCCTAAAAATACTTCTAATACTACTTTAGAAGACAAACTTTCATTGCTGAGTTGTTTCCAAGTTGAGAGCTACCCCTCTCAGTGCTGTGTGGTTTCAGAGCTGCTTCTGCACAGCTTCCCTGCTGCATCTCGAACCACTCACAGGAGTCCCAGTGCAGTTCATGCAGAATCCTGCTCACAGGCCCCGTCAGACACCATGCTCTGCTCAACTCAGATACTCTAGGCTGCGGGCTTGCCTCCATCTCCCAATAACAGGACAGACTCCTGGGATCTGCTCTGCTTACCCAAGAATCAAGTGTTGCCCTCTGTCCATTCATGTTTCTGAGACCAAAATTTCTGCGAACCATACAAAAGAGACCCCAAAGTGAACACCAGCTGGCAGCAAAGACAGAGAAACCCTCTGCGGTGCTCTCTCCCCTCCCATTAACATCCCCATACTTCTTATGAAATAGAGTATTCACCTTCAAAATTTCTACAAAGACCCCACTCAATAAAGTCTTTCATCCCAAAAGCTAGAGAAGGAGGATTGCAAGCTCTTTCATTTGCAAAAGATACAGCTGATCTAATAGGAAAGACAAAGCCAAGCTCCTCGACCCCCTCCAAGTGTCACTCCTTGCAGACAAAAGCTTGTCTTGCACGCCTCACATTTTAAATGTGTATTTAATATAGGTCACAAACACGCCCAAAACATGGTTCAGGCAGTTTAGAGAGAGCCAACCGCAAGCCAGCATGCAGAGACCTTAGCTTTCAAGGCATCTATGAGTAAGTATTTCAAATAAAGCTGCAGTGCAAGGATGCACAAGGCTCCTCTTTGAGACACATGAGGGCTTGTTCAAAGCAACTCCAGTCTTGCATTCAGAAGCTCAAGTCTAAATGACACTTTCAAAAAATTGTTTAAAAACCCCAAACAAACCAGGTCAGCGAGAGCCCATGCAGCAATGACGACTTCCCTCCCTCTCACTTACGGACACTGCCAGCCACCTAGGTCAAACCCCACGCTTGGAGCAGGCACCCCCAGACAGACGCTGCCGTCTCGGTTCTGTCCAACGCAGCTCACCTCGACCAGATCATTCACTAGCCGGTGAGATC